TGTAAACACGCAGCGCGGCTGCACCGTTACCTTTCACACGGGCATTTCCTCCCGGCCGAGCATGCCGGGCTGCTCTCCCCAGAAAACTGCAGCACTATGGAGCTTTGCAGCTCTGCTGATGCCTGGTGAGCACTGAGCTGTGGTCCCCCATTGCACTGGGGTGCCCAGGAGGGGTCCCCACCAGGCAACAGTGGGAGCAGGGCAGGGTCCCTCCGAGGGGAATCTGCCCCAGCATCCTCATGGAGGGCGCAGGGGAGGGCTGAGACCTAGTAGTGTGCACACCAGACCCACACCCCAGGGGATTTTTACCCCCCTCATCCCCAGCAGGGAGGGGAGTCAAGGGCAGGCTCGGCCGCCAGCCCCGGCGCTGCCCCGAGGGCAGCACAGCGGGGTGCCTCCCTCTCCGCTTCCTCCAGTGGCCGATGGCAGCGATATCGCCCCGTATCACCCATATTTCATTTTCTCCAGGGTATTTTTAGCCCGTCCCACCCTCGCTGAAGAGGCCCTCGGCAGAGAGCAGGCTCTGCCCTGGGCTGGCTTGGCTGGAGAAACTAAACAACAGCCCCAGCCACATTGTGTGCCTTTATCTGCGGCTCATTTCCACCTATTATGCAGCCGTGAGCGGCTCCACAGCCTCCGCTGGGTTTATCATCTGTGGCAAAGCCTAGGCAGAGAGGCTGGCTGCGGGGTTGAGCTCTGCTTTGAGCCACCCAGAGCCTGCGCCACGATGGCCCTGTGACAGCCCTGGCCTGAAGCTGGGCTGAAGGGGACAGAACACTATAGCAGAGGGTTGTACTTTCAGTGGGTGAGCAGCACCCAGCAGCACAACTGGAGCTCAGAGGGTGCCCGCACTCACCCCACCACCCACGGGACAGCAGCTTCCCTCTCCCTTGGCCCCAAACCCTTACCCACCCTCCCCGAGGCAGCTGGATGAAGCACAGTCACACCACACTTCACTTTTTTCATTCATTCAACTTTATTCAACAAGATGCAACACTGAGTCTGCCAGGGGGAAAGGAAACAGCACTGAGGGCAGTGCCTCCATCCCACACTCGTGCCTCGGTCACACAGGACCCACAGTCCCTCAGTCACAGCAGGACCTTCCCCTGTGGAGGGACCGTTTTCATGGCAGCCATTGGTTCTTTGGTGTCCCCCCCAGCACCTCAGCCCACAGCAGGAGATGACTAGTGCAAAGTAATAAAACCAGTAACCCCCCCAAACCAGCAGTTGCTAGGCTAATTCCTCCCCAAAAGCGCAGGCTCGAGGCTGCGTGGCCCAGGCTGGACACAGCTCCCCAGATCCCCTGCACAACTGCACCTTTAAGGCAGAAAGCTCCGTGCTCAGGCCAGCAGGTTAAAAATAACTTAGAGACACACATCACACAGGAAAGGGGCCAGGGCCAGGAGGCGGGGGGGGGCTCGCACTCCTGGGGCACCCGAGCGGTGACCCTGCAG